AATTAAAGATTACAATTGCTCTGAATTGTGGAAAGTGATGCACTCTGAGTGTTCTCTGAAACAGTGGTTGCAGAAATCATGTATAAGGTTTGCATGGGTTTTTAAGCTTCTCAACCACTCCTTACAACTCCCTGAAGGGAGATTGCAGCCAGGCTGGGGTCTGTCACTTCTCCCAAGAAGGAAATGGTAGAAAAAGAGGAAATGGCCTCAAGATTCACCAGGTGAGGTTTGTATTGGGTATTAGGAATGATGTCTTCAATTAAAGGATCATCAGTCATGGGAACAGGGTCTTAGGGAAGTGACTGAGTCACCATCCCTGGAGATATTGGAAAGATGTGTGGATGTGGCACTCAAGGCACAGAGTTTAGTGGTGGATTTGGCAGTGCTTGGTTAATGGTTGGATTCAAAGGTTTTTTCCAACCTAAGTGATTCCATGATTCAGTTTCCTTTTTCTTTCCTTTTTTTTTCTTTTCTTTCTCCTTTTTTTTTTTTTTTTTTTTTTTTTCCTTTTTTTTTTTTTTTTTTTTTTTTTTTTTTTTTTTTCTGCATTGATCCAGAGTGTGACAGGTAACACAGAGGTCTAAGAAGCCACCCCTGCAGAGCAGATGGGTGCAAGGTGCTGTTGCATGGCTGGGTTTAAACTTGCTGCAGCCTCACAGATTTTTTTGCCCAAATGGAGCAATTTCTGGATAAAACTCCACACCCAAGTGACAAATTCCCTCAAGGTCCCACTCACAGCTGAGGTCTCCCCATGCAGAGTGTGCAGTGAGACACTTTGCTTTGGCAGAGCAGGTATTGAAAAGCTCTTTTTTTTCCATCTCTTTCACCTAGCTGGGTGCCTGGGAGGATTTTCAGGCAAGAGAAAGAAGAATTAAATAGACAAATATCAGAAATGCCATTATTTGCTGCTGCTTTAGGAGTTGGTTGGTGGGGCTTGAGTGACCTGGTCTGGTGGAAGGTGTCCCTGCCCATGGTGGCAGGACCAGATGATATTTAGGGTCCCTTCCAACCCCAAACATTCTGTGATTTCTATGTATAAAAAATAAATATAACAGCAATAAACATAGCAGGAAATCAGTATATGCTAGGCAGGGAGGAGGTTGAACTGATAGCAGAGGAAGTTGGGTTGTCCTGGGATCCAAGGGGATTTTCCTGGAAAAATAAACAGAAAGAGTTCAAATGTTTTTTTTTTTGAAATGTCCAGTTAAGGAAGTAGAGGAGAAACCATTTGCATCTGGGATTCTGTAACACATCCACTGCAAAACCCTCACAGCCTTGAGGACCCACAGTGTAAATAAAAGTAATTTTTCCCAGCTGTGGCCCCGAACTCTGTTAGTGTCAGAGCATGTATTTAATGCATAACATCATTTAATGCATATCAGAAACATCCTAATCCTTCTTGGGGAATCATAATATTTGAGTATCCACTTGATGTAATCAAAGATGTTTAATTTTTTTATCAGACTTCACATCCACTTTACTTCTCAGCCTTGGTTTTTCTTCCTTGGCTTGGTAGTACAGAGGCAGTTTTGCTTTGCTTTCTGCTGCTGTTTTTAAATTGTTCTGCTTGTCTGCTTGAACTGCTGCATCCTCCCTGAATAGTTACATCTTGGCTTGATGTGTTGAAGCTTGAAATTGGAGTAGTTAAAACAGCCTCCTTGTTACTATTTTCTTTTCTTTTGCAAAATAAAAACAAAATAAAAGCCAGAACTGGCAGCATGTTGTGATGTGAAATAAAAAGTCTAGGGGGAGGAAACTGCATGCCAGATACAGTGCAATTTTCTCAGAAAAAAACATTCTCCTTGAATTGCATTTCAAAGTAATTGTTTGGAAATTTTGGACAAAAGTTTAATTTTCTTTGTTGGGTGGGATTTTTTTAGATTTAATTTGCATTTTTTTAGGTGTGAGGGTGATTGTGGGTGCTGTTAGATAGGTATGGACTGAGAGGCCTTGGAAGAATTTATAACCTCACAGTCCTCTTCCATTTATATAATTTTGACAGCAATGAATATGTGGAGGCTTAAAAGCAGAATTATTTCCATGATTTCAGAGTATGAGCCACATGCATTTTCTCTTTCTCATTAGGAAATTGTGGCACAGGGTGAGAAAACTGGTGTCCCACCAATAAATACAAATAAATCTCACCCTCCCAAATTAGCACCTGAGTTTTTTGCTAGTTTTTCACTTCATGGAATAACTCTGGACTCTCGGTGTTGCTCTGTGTTTCCTTCTCAGTGAAACTGGTGCTTCTCCTGCCTTTTGCAACATTTGGGATATGTCATCTTGACTCTTGGTGTGACTTTGTCACTTGAAATGACTCCTCAGAGATACCTGCTGGGGGCTGTGCAGGAGTGTCCCCATGTGGGAGCACACTGGAGTCTGCAATCTGGATTATTTGGGAATTTAAAGCAGTGCTGTTCCCAGCTGGGTGATTCCAACTGAGCTCTTGAGGGAATTCCCAGCCCTTGGTTTGGTTGCTTCATGGTTCATCTGAGGCTTTGTTCAGTACCTCAGTGCATGTGGATTCAGGATCACTGGGCCAGGATTGAAATCTGTTGAGGCAAATTTAGTGTTTCTAAGGAGAGTATAAAATAAAGAAGTTTAAAAAAACCCACCCATCCAAAATGAGTTCTATCCCAAAATATGCAGATGAGTTTTCTCTGGAACATGCTAGCACCCTGAAAATCCAATAAAAAACTCCTAAAATGGGGGTAATAACAGTCTGTAAAGATATAAAAATCTTTTCCTGTGCTGCTCTTTCACCAGTGATTTAATGAGAGCTGGACTTTGTTAGTAACAAGTGAAATTCCTGGGGGACAGGGGAGCCCACAGTAATTTCTGCTCTTCTTTAGCCTCCTATATGGAACAAAGGAAATGAGTGTCTGGGACAGCTGATTTAGGAGAAACTGGAGGAAGAGAAGAGTGGGAAAATCTCTAGCAATGAGGCCCTGTGCATTTGGATTAAACAGCATTTAATACCCAGGATTTGTTCATCCTGGCAGGCTGATTCATGACTTTATTTACAGCTGTTACAGGGCTGAACTGTCTCAGTGCGTGTGAGAAGCAGTGGAAATTCTGCTCTCTAGATGTGCAGCTGCTCCTCCAGCACTGGGAGATGCATCCTCAGCCCTAACCTGAGCAGCACATCAAGCAGGCTTCTCATTTTGCCCAATTTTCCTCATTTTTGCCTTGCTCCATCGCTGTCCTTCTGCTCTGGCAAGAGCAGGTTGGGTGTGTGGTGCTTCAGCAGCTTAGGGAAATCTGGTGAAGGGATCCAGAGCAGGTCAAAGCTCCAGTCTCCTGACTTGCAGAAATGAATCTCAGCTCCTGTTTGAGTCTGAGATGCTTCACCTCAGAGGAGCAGCTGGGTGATAACAGGGCTCTGTTGGGTGGGCAAGCCCTGGGGTGCTACAAGTTATGACCAAAGTTTCAGGTAAAGCAGCTTCTGGGAAAGCCATGAAAGCTGACACAGGTGGGAGGCAGAATAAAAAAGTCTGCTGGAAAGCTGCTGCCATAAAACTGGTGACAAAGACATCATTAAAAATGAGTGTTTCTCTGGTGACTGTAATCAACCAAAATTGAAATGCCTGGTTAAAACTTATTTATGTGATGTATCCTTACTGTGTGAGATGAACTTAATACAGGCATAATTAATAGTGTTGTTAAGCTGAAGGAAAGCAGATTTAGATGGGATATTAGAAAGAAATTTTTCCCTGTGAGGGTAGGAAGACCCTGGCACAGGTTTCCCAGAGAAGCTGTAGCTGCCCTGCCCCTGGAAGTGTCCAAGGCCAGGCTGGATGGGGCTTGGAGCAACCTGGGATAGTGGAAGGTGTCCCTGCCCATGGCAGGGGGATGGAACTGGATTATCTTTAAGGCCTCTTACAACCCAAAATATTCTGTGATTCTCTAGTATAGCTCAGTCTAACATCACATGACTCCTTCTCTGGGGATAATGAAACTGTGGAGAAGCTGGGGACAGATTCAGGGATTTTAAAATTGGGAAATGAAGCTAAAAAATCAAATCAAAAAACAAAGAAAATAAACCCAACAAACAAAAATTTCTAAATAAACAAACAGAACGACAACAACAAAAATCCAAAAACGCAAATAACAAACAAATAAAAACCCCAAAACAACAACAAAAAATAATTTTAAAAAACTAAAACAAAAAAAACCAAAAAAGTCCCACACCACCTTCCGAACAAAAAAAAACCAAAAACAAAAACAAAAAAAAACCCAAAAAAGTCCCACGCCACCTTCCACCAAACCTGAAATCCCAAAATGTTCAAACCCTCACTTCAGTGTTCTCCTTGTAGGGCAGATTTGAGTACCTTGGCTAAAGTGAGGACATTGGGAATGAAGTTGTGAGAATTTTTCTGTGCACCAGCAGTAGAAATGCCTGGCACTGACTCATTGCCCCTTGAATTTGAGCTATGAGGAAGGAATAGGAAGAAGAGGAACCTCTTTTGGGGGTTAGGAGAGGAACGTGTGGAGATCCCACTGAGCTCCCACCTCCTTCCTGCCCTAAAAGCTTTCACCCCACAGAGCAGGTGCCCTCTGCTCACTGCTTTGTCCACAGGCAGGACCTGCTGTGGGCTCTCCTGCTCTGGGAAGTGCTGGTGGGCCATCACTCGGCACTGTGGTTTCTCATTCAGTCGTGGTTCTGATACTCCCACTTGGTAAATGAGGTGGAATTATTTGTATTCTGGTTGCTGATAATCCCTACGAATGCCAACTCAGTCCATGTGGGCTGTGCCCACGGTGTTGCAGCATCTTCACTGTCCTGGTGGTGCTGGATTTTTCTGTCCAGTGAAAGTTCCACGACATGCCCTGTGTAAAGCTGCATCAGACCACCCTACATGGGCTAAATTTCTGCAGCAAGCAGGAATCTACACCCCCTTTCAAAGCACCATCCCCCTTTCAAAGCACCATCCCCCTTTCAAAGTGATTGGTGATGTCCAATATTAACACTTTTTTTTTTCTGTTTTTTCTCTTCACAGCCACTCAGATTGATCCCAGCGAGCTGCAGGAACTTTTTCAGGAGACTTCAGCCAACGTCTTCCGAATTAACTCCAATGGTGTGTAAAATTAGAGGTTTCCTGGTGTGTTCTGTGCTGTCCTGCTGATGATTCCTGTGCATGGCCACGGCCCCTGGCAGCTCCTCTTGTCAGGGAGCAAATATTAATGCAGCTTTTCTGCTGCTGCATCTCACGAGCAGCAGCACATGTCCAATACACAGCTCCTTAAAAGATGTAAAAATATTACACCATATGTTCCATCCAACAGGCACAGATACATTCCAATCCTTGCTGAGACCACATCCTTTTTCTATTTTTAATTGTGTCATCTGTTACAATAGAGAGCTAAAGCTCAGAAAGGTGGAACAAGCCAGGCTCATTTTCAAATATGTTGCAGCGCTGCTGTGTTCAGAGCCTGTCACATGAGCTGGCAAAACATCTATCTCCCTTAGAAAAACACCAAAAATTCTGCTGTTCCTCACTCTCTAGGTTGGGCAGGGGTATCTCCCCAGCCCCTAGTGATGCAGAGTCCTCCCTCCTTTTAAACAAGCTCTGGCTCATCTGTTTTGTTGGGTAGGCTGGAGGAATTTATCTTGCAGACAGATGTAAACTAAAATTGCTGAGTGGAAGGTAATGCCATTGTACCCCAGTTCTAAAACATACCAGTGTCAGACTGGTAGAAATTATCAGTGCTGATTTTACAATAGACCTTAAAATTGCTTTGGAATCATCTGGACAGCTTCTGTTCTGTTCTTTCTGTGTCTTGTGTGACAGAGAGGACTGGCCTAGGTGTAGGGAAAGGATTTTAATGCCTCTTTATTTGTGTAATTCTTCCCCAGTGTCTTCCAGGTGTGGGGCCCTGGTTGTTTGTAGCAAGGGATCCTTGTTAGAACAAGGATGGGAATTAAAAACTTCTGAAATGTAGTTGTCTCTACTTTTGATGAGTTGTGTATGCTCCATCTGCCAGGAAAATTCAAGCACCCATTCAATTTTTCTATACTTACAAGGGGTTGGTGACCCTTGAACTGGTGACACACATCCCATGTAAAAAAGGGATTTTGGCCACTGTGGGAGCTTGAACATCCCAGCTGTGATACTTGGCTTACAAGTGGGTGAACAGCCACACCATAACACATAGAAATACCTGCATTAGCACCAATTTTGGCAGCTCCAGCAACAATAGTTTTGATTTGACAATGCCAGTGATGAGTGGAAGTAGCACTTCTGCTTCCAAACTTTTTCAGACTGAAGTGATGCAACCTTCTCATGAGTCTGTGTGTGCTGTTCCTGTCCAAACTGGCCAGATTAGGGCTGACTTGATGTGCCCCTGTGCTTCAATCACAACTCCCTCCACAGTGGAGTTTTATCCTAAGAAAACTTAAAGGTGAATGGTGCATCTCTTTCGAAGTACCACAACCCAATTTCTGTTTTCATTCTTTGTTAGAATTGCCTTAACCCCTTCAATTGGTGTTTGACAACCACTGTTGCTGTTATTTCTCCTCTTGGGGTGGTGATGATGTGTTTCCTCTTAAGAGCTGCCTGAATTGAGTGCTCTGTGAAGCAGATAATGACAATGCCTGCACTTAAAACTATTTTGCAACAATGGAGAGGGTGCAGAGAAAAGCCAAAACTGTTCCATGTCTGAAAGTCAGACTGTAAAATTTGTGCCATCCAAATTTCTGTTTGAGACATCCAAGAGGACTCAATCATGGTGTGTAAGTACTTCTCTAGGAAGAAAGACATCAAACAGATAGCAAGGGGCTTATTAATCTATTGTTCTCATATAGAAGGAGATCAGGAGATAAGAGTTAAAGCTAGACAAATTCAATCCCTCTGTATGAGGGTAACCAGCCATTAGAACTGCTTATGCAGGAGGCTTGATGGATTTGGCTTTGCCATGAAACTTTAAATCAAGATTCAAATATCTTTTTTATAAGATATACTTTAGTCCAGCTGCAGTCCCCAGTCTTGATGTGGGAATCATGGGACAAAATTTTATGGGAGGAAATCAGGTTGGATAATCAGAATTGCTCTCTCTGGCTTTTAAAATCTATGAATCAATGAATCTATAATGCCTTTTAAAGTGCTTTCAGGTTGAAGAAATGCCCATAAGATACTCTACTGTTGTTGTTCTGTTCACTGCCCATATTATTTTTTGTCTGACAATCAGTTTCATTCAGTTTATTTTTTATAGTCTTTCCCCCAAAAAGTGGTTAGAGATTTTCAGGAGAAGGCTGCTGAGTGTAGTGCTGAGATTTGGCAGATCTAATTCACTTTAGGTAAAGAATTTTTAGGGCTAGAAAATGGGGAAGAATGCCCATGATTCTTTCTGTAGCATAAAGTCTCTTCAGGAAACTCATGGGCTCTGACTTGGAGCATGGGAAATAAGTCAGTGATGTTGTTTGTGTAGCACCATGCAAGTGGCTGAGGAAGGAACAGGCAGCTGTGTTCCAGATGCTCACCAGATGATGGGGTTACTCCTCTTGTACTGGGCACAGGGTGTTGAACATCCTACAAAATGCATAAATCCTATCACAGCTCCTCTGTCCCTCCTTTTCCTGGCTTACTGAAGCTCTCTGAGGTTTTTGAGGTCCCCCATTGTGCTTGGAGATCTAACTGTGCACCTGAAATGTTCTTGTCTCTTTTGGGGTGCTGAAGATGATAGAATCATGGGGTCATACAATCATTAAGGTTGGAAAAGACCTCCAAAATATCCAAGTCCAAGCTTTGGCTGAATGTACCAAGGCCAGTAAACCTGGGGAAGTGCCTTGGTTTATTTTTGAACTCTCAGGAATTGTCACTTCACCCCTTCCCTGGCCAGGCTGTTCAAGCTGTCAGGAGTTGGCCATGTTATGATTTTGTTGTTTAGATTCTAAAAATCCCAGGTTGAGGGCAATCTCCGCAATACCTTTTATGTCTTTGGGGAATGAGTATTTTTAATGAAACAAGGAGTCAACATTGTACCAGGATTTTAAAGCACCATTGAATTTTATTGAGTAACACTGCAGAAGTAATAAACACTCTGTGCTTTGTCCCTCTTTGCTGTCCTTATTCTTTTTACAGAACTCTGAGCCTTTGGGGTGATTTAAATTCTTCTTGGGCACTTCAGGACTTGCTTCCTGACCAAGGGGGATTTTATAGCTCTGAGTTGATTGTGATTATTCTCACCTATAAATGCTTCCTGCTCCCTTTTTCTGCCATGAAAATGGAAATCTTCCTCATTTGTTGAATAAAAATTTTAGCTAGGACAGCTGGTTCTTTTTATATGCTACTGGATCACTCTTCTGCCAGGTCGTGAGCTTATAGACTTGTTTTAATGCCATCCATTATAGAAGCATGAAAGGGTAGAGGAAGATTTTTCCTAATCTTTGCACCTGCTTTCTTTCTCTTAATCTTTTTGGGCTGTCTGTGATGAAAATAATGAAGGTTCATAGAATCGTAGAGTCAAAGAATGGTTTGGGCTGGAAGGGACCTTAAAGGTCATCTTGTTCCAGCTCCCTGCCATGGGCAGGGACACCTTCCAATAGACCAGATTGTCACATAGTGCCTTGACTTTTGCAACTTTCATGTTTTGGGTTTTTAAATTTAGTTGATTTTCCTACCAGGACACAAAAAGGAGCTCAAAAAGGAGCCTGAATTTGTCTTATTTATGGCTTCTTTTCTTTTTTTTCTTCTTTATCTATACTTTTATCAAGACCTTGCATTTTTTTTTTTCATGTGCAGCTTTTAGCTGCCTCTTAGTAAGTAGCTTATAAATAAGTGCAATAAATAACACTCTTAAATGGAGTTGCTCTGGTACATCTTGTCTGACCCGTGGAGGATATACTGGAGGAATCAGGCCTGTGCTGGCCAGATGGACAACCTGAACTCTCCAATGGGTCTCTTGCCTCTCTAATTCCTGCTCCTCACTCATTCATGGCTGCCCATAACTGGTTGATGCCACGTGCAGTCCCATTACCTCGATCTCAAAGGCTGAACAAAGGATTTTCTTGTATCCCTTGGGTGTGATGGAGTCTCCATTGCCATCTCAGGATGGTTTCTTATCCCCCATTGATTTAAGGCTTGCAATGGCACAGGCAACTGGGGGCCAAGCTCTCTGTGTAGTGAATCAGTGCAGCTCCAACGTCGCTGATGCCTCATGAATGTGCCTCATTCTGGAGGGCTAGGGCATGCCTTTTAATAACAAAAAGAACAAGACTTTAAAATAAGGTTCCTGTTTTAAGAATGGCTTCACACATCCCTCCAGCAGAGCTTGATGTTTTGCTCCTCTGGTCAAATTACTGCTCACATGACCAGAACTGATACATTGCGAGAGATTTTCCACATCCAGCACAGGAGCTGCAGAGATTTTGATAAATTAATTCGTGGTCAAAGCCAGTTAGATTTAGCCCACAGTAGCTCAGATTTAATTATAGATTCGTAGAATGGTTTGGGTTGGAAAGGACCTTAAAGATCACTTGGTTCCAGCCCCCTGCCATGTACAGGGACTCCTTCCACTAGGTCAGGTTGCTCCAATCCCCATCCAACCTCGTCTTGGACACTTCTAGGAATGGGGCAGCCACAGCTGCTCTGGAAAACTTGTGCCACCCTCACAGGGACGAATTTCTTCCTAATATCCAATCTGAACCTGTAAATCCTCTCCCTCTTGTCCTATCACTTCATGCCCTTGTCCAGAGTTCCTCTCCAGCTCTCTTGGAGCCCCTTTAGACACTGGAAGATGCTCTAAGTTCTCTCTGGAGCCTTCTTTCTCCAGGCTGATTAATCCCAGCTGTCCCAGGCTGGCTTCAGAGCAGAGGTGCTCCAGCCCTGTGATCATCTCCATGGCCACCTGGATTTTCTTCCCCTGGATAGGGGCCCCAGAGCTGCATGCAGTCCAGGTGGGGTCTCATGGGAGGAGAGCAGAGGGGGAGAATCACCTCCACTGAGCTTCTGGCCACTCCTCTTTTGATGCAGCCCAGGGTTCTTTTGGCTTTCCTGAGATTTAGGAAAGTCATGTCGGAGTCTTAGTCTTGCTGTTTTCCACATAAGAGCTATATCAAATGGCAGTCTTTGGCTCCTCCAGAGTGCATATCTTGTCCTTTTGGGACAACTGATATTTATTTAGTTGTCTAAATACTGTGTTTGAATTGGAATATTAGGTAAAATTATTGGATAATAACTTAATTGCAGGTCACTTTCTCATCTAAATGATGAATGCTTTCCTTACCTCTCACATAGATGTCTGATATTCTTTTCACCTTTTTGTAGGTTTTCCAAAATGCTGAATAAATCTGACAGCTCCTGGGTTTGCCTCAGTGTAAAATGGCTTGAGTGTGAAGTCTTGAAGTGTTTTGTTCAGTATCAAAACTGCTTTCCACTCCAGTCTTCTCCAAAGCAGTGGCAGTAAAAGTCACTTTGAATTGTCCTTATTTTCACAGGTCAGGCTAGAAAGGTTCATGGAGGCTGTAGCTGCCGGTTTTGTTCTGGAATTGCACACATGACATTAACTTGTTCTTACAAATTCAGTGTCCACACAAGTCCTTTCTTTACCTTGGCTTGCTGTCCATTCTCCAAGGACCACACTCTACTTTGTTCCAAAGGGTTGATGGGCCCAAAAGTATTTTTAGTAGATGCGAAATTTTGTGTTTGAACTGAACAGCATGTGGATTCCAAGGGAAATTGATTTGTTAGGATTGTGGAGAGGGAAAGAGGGAATTATAGTATTCATGAGATCTCTGCAGGGTCAGTGGTGTCCTTCTACAGCAGCAAATGGTTATTAGTGAAAACTTCCAATTTATTCTTTAGAACACTGTGCTTCCAGCAAAGAAAAATAATTATTGTGTGCTGCTTCTTTATCTTTTCTTTCTCTGCTGTTGACAGTGACCTCTCTGGAAAGAAGTCTTCGATCCCTGGGGACCTCAAACGATACTCAAGAGCTGCAGGATGGACTGTGAGTTTATTTTAAATTGTTGCAGATCTTTCTTTGTCCCAGCCTTTTCATTTTTTCCCCCTCATCTCTCCTCACCCTTTCTTCCATCCTTTTATTATAGCTGGACACCTTTTTGTCAGGATTACTTCGTTTTTTTCCATTTGTGTTGGTGATTAATGGTGCTAGGATGTGTATTGATCGTATAAAGCTTTGCTTGTGCTGGTTTCAGGTGGCAGAGAATGGTGTGGAGATAACACAGAAAAGATGACCCACGGTGAAAGAGGGCATTCTGTGGCTCTTGGATGTGTTATTTTTCTCTTGTTTGTTATTTTTTTGATGTTGGGGGTGGTGGTTATTTATTTTTAAAGTGAAGATGGAGTAGGAAACTGTGCTGGTTTTGGCTGGGATTGAGATAATTTTCTTCACAGTAGCCAGTGTGAGGCTGTGTTTTAGATTTGTAATGAAAACAGTGTTGATAATCCAGGGATATTTTATTCACTGCTGAGCAGTTCTTACACAGAGGCAAGGCCCTTCCTGCTTCTCACCCTACCCACCAGCAAAGGAGTGAATGAGCAGCTGTGGGAGGTCAGCTGCTGGCTGGAGTTAAACCAAAACAGATGTTTCTGTAGCTTTTTCTTGTTAATTTTCTTTTATCCCCCAGTTCTACTCGGCCAAGATCCATAGACCCAAGAGGAAAGAGAAAAAAGAGACTTGTGGCTGAGGCATGTAGTGACAGGACAAGGGAGAATGGCTTCAAACTGAAAGAAAGTAGATGCAGACTGGATATTAGGAAGAAATTCTTCCCTATAAGGGTAGTGAGCTCCTGGCATAGATTTCCCAGAGAAGCTGTGGCTGCCCCATCCCTGGAAGTGTCCAAAGCCAGGTTGGATGGGGCTTGGAGCAACCTGGGACAGTGGAAAATGGCCATGGCAAGGGAATTGGAACCAAGTGATCTTTAAGTGACCCTTCCAACCCAAACCATTCCATGATTCTGTGAAAAAATAAAAGAGGGAGAGGATATTTTACAGGAGGAAAAGCATGTTGTGGTGTTGGAAGCTGCATCACAGCATCACGTGGTGCAGCACTGACAAAATGAAACTTGATTTGCAGTTGCAGGAGACACAGTTCATTAAACTCCCTCTTCCAGAACTGTGTACATACAAACACGCACAGTTAGCTCTCCTTGTATGTCTACTAATTACAGAATTCAAATGACTTCTCCAAATGTAGCACAATTTATTAAAGGTGCCTCCCTTCAAGCACCTTGCAGGCAAAAATCAACTGTTTAGGGTATGTCTCTGATTTAATGTGTGTGACTATTGTTCCTGCTGAGATTTGGCTGTGAAGAAAGATGAGAATTTTGGGTTTATTTCTTTATTTGCCTGATGGACTTGGCTGACCTTCTTTATGCAATATAAACTCTCAGACCTGTTTGCAATGTCTCTCCTTTCCTCTCCAATCCATTTCTTTCATCAGGGCATCAGATCTGCCCTAATTCACAGATACCCTGTTTTGCAAACCAGAGGATTAAAAATAGTAATAGTCAGAAGATTTGAAAGTAAATTTAGGAGATTGGAGAGGATGTAAGAGTAAAAAGTCAGCCTGTGGACATCGATGTAGTCAGGAAAGATGTTTACATGTGCAAAACTATTTGCAGCATGAAGCACCTTAATAACTGCTGGAGATCCTTAACCCAGAAAAGACTCTGTGTCATGCAGATATTGTGTTTGCTCTCCTAAATTATTCTTTTTAAAAAAAATTTAATTAAAGAATCAATTCCTTGACTCTTCAGAACACTCCAGAAACATGGCTAGATAATTTTCCTCTTTCCTGAGCAGTTACATAAATAGATGCATAAGGCACTAATTGCACTAATTACTTTTTGATCTCGGAATTATTGTTAATTGTCCAGATAGTTAAATCATGTTTTTAGAATTTTAACCGTGCTTCCCTACCCCTGTCATCAGCCCCAGAATTCCTCCAGCTGTCTCCTGGTTCATCCCCTCTCCCCATGGTCCAATGGCTCTCCCATTTCTCCCATTTGGCTTCTTGTATCTCCATACAGAGAAGTACCAGGGTGCTTTGCTGAGGTGGACCAGCAGCTCCCTTCCCTTCAATCCTCCCTGTCTGTCATCCTGCCCTAACACTGACGTGTCCTTCCACCGCCCCCCTTTCTCATCGCCAGGCAAACAACCTCGTGTGCTCTACAAGAACTTCTGCTTGTCTCTCCTGAGAGCTGCACCAGCAAAAAGCAGCGTGCCATGAATCACTAGAGCTGGCAGGGCTGCATAGATCTCTGCTCAGGAGGGTCAGCTCTTCAGGTGAGACCTTTGGGGCAGTGCTTTCTGCTTCCACGGCTGCAAATCATGGCTTAATCTTCCTCCTCTGCCACTTGACCCCCTCCTTCAGAGGCTGATGCATGTCTCTCCTTGAACACCCTCTGGCTTCGAAGATGGGAGCAGTGAGGGAACATTTGGCAGGTTTATGGCCCTGGCTGTTAGGAAAATGATCATGGTTTTGAGTATCTAAGTAGTAAAATTGCCACAATTTCTGCTTCCTTGTTAAGTGGCTGTCACTCTGCCTAAAATGAGGCTGCCTAAAATTAGGCAGATGAGGGAAGGCAGAGTGTTTGGGAATAGGGATTAATGGTGGATTGTTCTGCCACAGAGGACATTCAGCTACTTTGGACTGTAAACTGCAGAAGTTTTTGCTTACCTAGCTGCAGGGTCCTGATAAAACAGAAAAAAAACCCCAAAGTTACCTGTTTCTGTGCGAAATTCAGGCAGACTTTCTGCCTGTTAAGCACAGGACTCACAAAGACATCAGATGAGGGCAGGATTCTTACTGTCAAATTGGTCTATTCCCTTTGTGAAATGGTGTCTCTGCTTTTGAGAGCTGAGTCTTTCAGGATAAGGATTGTATCTGTGGCAAGTAAATTTGGGAGAGTTCATCCCACACGGAGTGCCAGCTCTAGTCAGTGAGACACACTTGGCTGCTGCTGTGAGCAGGATATATATCAGACCCAAAGTGAATAATCCTGGTTGAAGCTCTTCCCAGAGCCAGCACAAATATTTGTGGGCTGCATGCTTGGAGCTGGATGTGCTGGCAAGTGAAATGTAAATGCCCATACAAAGCTCTTGGCTGAATGCAACTGACTCTGGATTAGTTGGGAAGGGAGTGGGACCAAAGGGAAAAAAGGTGCATGGAGCTGGGACGAGGAGCTAAGGCCAGGAGGCAAAGCTGAGGCTTTCTCCAGTGATGCAGGAAAAATCGACTGATTTGTTTCCTCTCTGACCTTTGGTTTAATAATCCAGGCTTCCAAGGCATTTATCTGCCTCCTTAGCCAGAGTGTGTGGGCTGAAGGGGTTCTCCAACATTAGGCACTGAAAGTAATGAGTTTTTAATTTAGGCAAACTAAATAAAACACCCAGGTAGAGCACCGTCTCCAAGAGACAGTGAAAACCAGTCTCCTTTCTTTTGAGTGGTGCAGCTCTTTGGTCTCCCAACATTTTCCACAAAGTGGCTGGAAATGAAAGCCTCCCTGTAACCTGGACAATGCTCTCTGAGAGATGTGTTAGAAGAAGAAGAAAAAAAAAAAAATTAAAAGTCTTTCATTTTCAGACAACCTGACTCTGTCTTATTGTGATCTCAAGAAAAGCAAAGTGGCCATGCAGGCTTCAAGAGGCATTTGCTGACTACCTGGAAGCCATCAAACTGAGCTTGAAGTGGCAGTGAAAGGTCCTTGATGTCCTTTTCTTGGAGGCTGGGTGGCTGCAGAAGTGATCCAGGCTTTCCAAACCAGGCTTCTGCACTGCTCACGTCAGAGAGGACTTTGTCACCTTATTGGACATTTGGTCTTGTGTCACTGCAAGGTCAAGAGGAATAAGAGCATTGAGTCACAATCACAGTTTTTTACCTCTTTCAGGTGTGTCTGGGATGTAGCCCATGAGTCTTCACTCCGTGAAGTATTTTTGCATCCTTCACTAATCACTAGCAGAAGAATTTGCCTGTTTAAGGAGGAGTTATAAGAAGGATATTTTTGGGGCTTTTAGCACTGATGAGATTTTAGCACTGATGAGAGTCACTAAAAGAAGTGTTGATTTCTCCTGATTTGAGAAAAAAAAAAAAAATACTATTACCTTTCACCTCACTTTTCCCACCGACAATTTTTTTTAAAGGTGCACATCACTGAAATATGTAGGATTTCTTCTTGAACCTGAGAGAGGGCTCAGCTCTACATCTGTACAGTGTGAGAGAACAAACCTCCTTTTCTGATTGAACTGATACAAAATCTTGGTTAAGATGGTGCAAGGCAGAGAATTCCTATGGCCACAAAGGAGTTCCAAAGCATTTTCCAAGTGGGGAAGATGAGTTTGAGAACTGAACTGCTTCAGGGTGAGACAGCTCAACACTCCTGGAAGAGACTGAAAGCGCAGCTTTTGCGTTGTTGTCCTTACCTGTTTTTTGGTAAAATACTAACTTCACTGAGCACCTCTTTTCCTTGGGCATGCATATATAGATTGCTATATTCTTTACTGGGATTGAAGGGAATTCCATCTTCCTCACCCTTCCCCAGGAAATTTACGTCATTACCAGCAGATTTTTTCGGGAGCAGTAAAATCAATTCATCTGTTTATTTTGCCACCTTAAAACTGATGGAAGCCTAGGGTGAAGAATTGTCAGTTTGGGGTGAAGTATGGTCAGTTTTGGGTGCTTTTGGGAAGAGAGGCATCCCTTTCCAAGAGTGAAGCCATGAGCTCTTCAGGGCTCTCAGGCACAGTCTGAGGTGCTTTGCTGGATTTGTAGAAGCATTTTTGACACATGCTGACATTCAGGATAGAATCAGTAAGTTTGTGACAGATTGGACTCATCTGTGAGTCTTGCTTGGCACAGGTTGTTGCATCTTCTTATGGATAAGAGCATAAAGGTGGTTGCCGACATTTTCTTGGCCTCTGGGCTCTGTCAAGCTTCAGCTCATCCTGGCAAGGTCAGAGAATCGTGGAATGGTTTGGGTTGGAAGG